CCCCCGCGACTTCCGGAGCCCGGAAAGGAGCGAGGCGGGTCCTGCGCCCCGCCCCCACGGGGCTAGCTCGACCTGTCCGACCGCCCGGCGTTCCGGGCGGGGGTCGTCCACACCACGTGGTCACACGGCGCTTCCGGTGAGGACCCCCCTCCACGCCATCCGCTCCTCCCTACCCCGAGCGCCTCCGGGGGCCACGGGTCCCCCGCGTTCTGAGGCGGCAGCGGCGAGCTAAACGCACTTCCTGCTTGCGGGCCTTTTGATTCTGGTGAGCCGGGATGGATGGTAAAAGAGGGACTAAACGGGGAGGAAGACGGGATGACTGAAGTGTGTTCTTCTGCGTGAGGGAAGCCGGTGGTGGTGGATCCCATCGGAGTCTGGGCTGTGATCTTGATAGCAGCAGACCCTCAGAAGGTCTCCAGGGCCATGGTCTTGATGGAGGGGACCGCCAGGCCTTTTCTCGCAGAATGGGTGGTAGGTTCAAACTGCTGACTAAACCAAACCCACCGCCATCCCGTCGATCCCATCGTTGTCTACCCCCTGTCTTCGGGTGGAATCCTGCTCGTAGCGACCCTACAGGACACAGTTGAACTGCTGCTGTAGGGTTTGTGAGACTAAATCGTTCCAGGAGCAGACAGCCGCACCTTTCTCCCCCCGCAGCAGTTGGTCGGTACCCACCACTGGCCTTGCGGGTTAGCAGCTGGAGCTGTCACCCCCTACGCCAGCAGGGCTTCCAATCTGCCTCAGAAAATGATTGTTTTTAAAATATATGCATTTTTAATATTTGAAATATTTACATAATGCAACCACCTCATATATCAATGTTAAGATCAGTGTTTTCAAATATCCTCTCAAGTTGTAAAAGCTCTAGGAACTCAAGCTCAATTATACTTTCTGACACACCACTCTTTAGCTTCCTTTAAAATAAATACACTGACATGAGAAGAGCTGCACCTTATCTGTATTAGGAACTGTTTGAACTTCCAGGTCCTTTTGCCCCGCGGTGGAGTTCTGATCTACAGTAAAGACAGCCTGTGCCCATGTGTGTCTTCAAGAACATCATCAGTAAACTTTTAGACACTGATGAGCAGAAATAAAACTGTGTGTGTGTAGAAGCATAAGCAGACATGATACAAACCTTTTATAGAACGAAAGTCAGTAGTGGTTGAGAAAATGTTTAAAAACAAACATCTGAAATATATTTTCAGTGTCTTTTAAGTACTGTATATCTAAGAGCTAACAAGATAGCAGAGAATTATCAGAATACATGCTGGACAGTCAGAATTCATGAGGAACTACTTGTAAAAGTAAAGAGATTTGTCAAGGTTGGCTTTGATTTGAACCAGGAACAGCATAGTAAACAAGTTAAACCAAGTAGTCCAAGGCAGCAGGGCATCCAACACATTTTAACAGGGTTAAATCAGGTGTTTTAGTTTACAACTCTATGATTATAAGCACAACTTGAGAGGCAGGACACCTCAGAGCAGGTTTTTCGCTAGGATTGGCTTATAGAACATATGTAGGTTTCAGAGATTGGTTATAGTACATGATTGCAAAAGTCTGTGATTATTAAGGGGTCTTCAGGGTAATCAACAGGTTGTCCCAAGATATTTTCCCCAAGCCATAGATGTTTAAGATATCCCGAAGACACACTCGTTCCTGGCATTTGTTTTCATGAGATTTTTCTCTTAAAGGGTACACTCATGTATGTGCCTGACTACAAAGAAAAACATTTCTTTAACTGTATGATGAAATTTGTTTAAAGTCAGTAAGCATTAGGGAATACGGCATAGGCATTTGATTATTGACTTATTGACCGCATAGGCATTTGATTGTGTGAACCATAGCTAGTTTTAGATGACATTTCTAAGAATGGAATTCCAGAACACTTACTATTATGGTCACGTGGAACCGTGTATAGACCAAAAAGTAGTTTACAAAGTGGACAAGGGGATAATAGATGTTTTAAAATCAGAAAAGGTGTGTGTCAGGGTTGTATCCTCTTAGCATACTTATTCAGTTTGTATGCTGAACAAATAATCTGGGAAGTTAGACTATGAAGAAGAATGTGATAATAGGATTGGAGGAATAATCATTAATAACCTGCAATATGCAGATGACAACCTTGCTTGCTGAAAGTGAAGAGGACATGAAGGACCTACTGATTTAGAGCAAAGTCTACAGCCTTCAGTATGGATTACAACTAGATTAAATAAAACCAAAATCCTTACAACTGGAGCAATAAGCAACATCTTGATAGATGGAGAAAAGTCTGAAATTTTCAAGGATTTAAATTTACTTGGCTCCACAATCAATGTTCATGTGAGCAGCAGTCAAGAAATCAAACATTGTATTATATTGGTCAAATGCAAAAGATTGCTTTAAAATGTTCAAAAGCAAAGATAGCACTTTAAGGACTAAGATGCACTTGACCCAAGCCGTGGTATATTCAAAGAAAAATGGAATGTCTTTGAATTATGGTGGTGTTGAAGAATATGAAATATCTGAACATTTGAATTGGAAGAAGTACAGCCAGAATGCTCCTTAGAAACTAGCCTGGTGAGACTTGGTCTCATGCATTTTGGATGCGTTATCAGGATGGACCAGTCATGTTTGGTAAAGTAGAGGGTAAGTGTAAAAGAGGAAGACCTTTAATGTGATGAATTGACACTGGTTCCAACAGTGGACTCAAACATAACATATGGTATTGGTCAAATCTGCTGCACTAGACCTCTTTAAAGGGTTAAAGAGCAAGGATGTCACTTTGAGAACTAAGATTCACCTGACCCAAACCATGGCATTTTCAATTTCATCATATGCATTTGAAAGTTATACGACAAATAAGACTGCAGAAGATTTTTTAAAAATCGTCTCGGGGAGGAGACGAGCCAGTCAGGGTACGATGTCGCAAGATGAAACATACGATTTTCCTCTAGTTCCTAAATGCTTCCTCCCTACTCACTATCATGATCCGAATTCTACCTTGCAAGTCTGGCTAGACCAGAGGATGTACACTGGTACAGATAGGAACTGGAAA